GTTTTCTTTCAAAAGAATAAACACACCACCAACATCAAAGTAACTGCTTTCTATTCAAAAAGGTAGCCTTTATCCGCAATTCAGTCAACTTATGTGGGTTACATACTTGCAAGGATGCCATTGATGTGCCCTTCCTTTGGAATCGCGGCATTCAGTATGGCATGCCCTAAATTTTTTTGGATAAAGTGCTAGAATGACTCAAAATCCTTGCTTGACATCTCATTATTTCACTTAGTCGAGGTCATAAACCCAATTCACATGTAAAAAGTTTGAGGTTTTACACCCAAAATTCGTAATAAATGAAAAAAATTTGTTGCCATATGTAATATTGCTAAATCCCCATAAATCAGTGTAAGTATTTTTGGAGGTTATTTTAAAATACTGATAAGTCGTGAGCCTAATGGGCTTTGTTCTTGCAAATAGGGCAGTAAATCCTGCAGTAGCCTTAACGCATTTCTCCTTTCCACCTCAACCTTCACACCCATGGAATGGGGAGACGAGTCGGATGCAGCCATGCTTTATAGGGCAGCGATAGATAAAGGGGTACAGGTATCATAAATGAGCGTGTTCAGGGTACGGCAGTTCCTCCTCCTTGGGCGCCCATGGTGTCCGATTTGTCAACGAAGTCGTAGTTACTAACCGCCTCTTGCCTAAACGGTACATTCAAACAAACAAGTATGGCAAATACCACTACCTGAATTAATCCATTCAGCAAGATTTACTTCACAATTTGCCACAATCGTTAGCATAATAAGTTGAAGAAACTCAAAACTTGGGACCTGATCTGACCAGTAGTCTATGAAAGGTAAAAAAGCCGACCGAGATTTCTTCTTCAGGGGTGGACGACCTCCCTTGCCTTGGCAATTAGCGTAGGTCTTTGGCAAACGAAATCCCCTTGAATGCCTGAGAATTTAACAATGCACATTGAATATCTAGTCAAAGTTTATGTTAGGCAGGAGGGCAGTGGGAGCAAACAGCTTTTTTCGACGAACCTCTCTTTTCAACGTACCTCTAGTTACTTAAATATTAGAGTACAAACGTTACCAGTAGTAGGGGAAGACCGAGCTAGATGAGACAAGACTTCCTACAGACCCAGGCCATAGTGTTTACTCCTTCGGAACTGTTTTCTGCTGTTAGGATGATTCCATTCCAACTCCAACATGAAATAGACTGATGTGCCGGGATGGACGATAATGCCTAGAACACATTGAGGTTTTTTTTACCATTATTTTGAATTCTCTCACTGCCTACTAGAAACCATTTCTCATATTATAAATTAACAAATAAAATAATACGTTATTTTGTTTAAAAGGATAAACTATAACAAAGTAAAAGTGGATGCACAAGAATTTAGTGCCTTAGATAAATAAAATCCCGAAATACGCATTTAGAAGAGCCAAATATCACAGTATTTATCACAAAAAACTTCACATTTTACCACAGAGCGATCACAAGGCATTACCGAGTGGTTCTGGCAATGAGCCGCTCTCAATCTCGTGAATGTCATGCGCCATTTGTCAAACGCCTCAAGTGCCTAGTGGACTATTAAGTAGTCTTATTCATGCCACGGCTTGGAGTACCCCAAAAAAAAACATTTAAATCTATCTTCATACCACCATTTTTCAATACAAAAGATGTTCAGAGTTTTGTGTGATTAAGTGTTCCTTCTGACATTAAGTGAAGCGTAACGCAATTGGGACTCCGATGAATTAGAACTGTTAGCTGCTATCTTGTGGATTGAGAACACTTGCGTTTACTTCAAAAAGAAGAGATTTACTAAACTCCAGCACATTTTAACAACGTAAACATTTTATATTTTAGTGCGTCACATGTAATTTTACATACATTTAAACTATAATGCTCCACGATGATCTTTCGAATTCATCTCCCTGGTGAACCAACTGGCGGTGAAACAAAAATTACAGCCGACTAGAATGTGAATGTAGGCGATTTGATGGATTACGTGCATTCAAAAAATGGCATTTTTTCTACCCTTTTCTTCCGCAAACCAATTATCTGTCAATAATCGCTCCTACAGGCCCCAGCTGCGGTGCCAGTTGCGAGTCAACGAGTTGCTTCTGACAGCTGTGCCTCCAATAGCTACTGCTCTTAGAAGTGCTATCCAGCAACAGTGAAGACCTAAAGCATTTACTCCGCGGAAGAGGCAAAACATACTCCTCTGAATAGTCAAATGGACACAATTTTAATTTGAACCTGTTCAAAAACGGCATCATATTCTATAGGGAGGTCGATGAAGGTGCTGAAGTAAAGAGGAATTCTCAAAAGAACTTAATATCAAGTATTTGTTGGGATTTTGGTATTATAGAAGAAATTGTCTTTCACTAATGACTTGAAATTGATTTTTTACTGCTGGAAGATGAGCGCTTATAGCGCCAGTTCCAACGGCGGGGTTTTTAGGTTTTGGGAATTACCATGATTCTCGGAGGAAGAAGCGGCAGGTGGTGTCCCAAGAAAGTGGCACGTGGAAAATGGGCTCACAAAAATTATTAGGTTGATATAAGTTTCTCAGTTAAAGAACAAAATCCGCAATACCATACCAATGCCATACCATCTCCAAACCTCAGAGCGGGGAAGCCTTTGGACATTCGAAAACACAGGGAACAAAAATAAAAGCAGTTATAAATGGGATAAAAAAGAATTCAGTCTCCTGGTCTTTTTTTGGAATTATTTATCATAATGGGGAGAATCAAGTGGCTAGCCTTCTGATACACCTTCCAGAGTTGTTGCATCCACTCTGTCTCGAAGTTCAATTTTGCGTCGTCAAGATGGGTCACTGGTAACCTCATCACCTGCCCTTTCATCTCACTCAGACTACTCACCCAATTATCTTTTCTGCACATTTAGAAGTGCATATATGTGTCTACAAGTTTAATTGCTTTGCTAATGAGTGCCTAACATCCTAATGGGTGATAATTAGGAGGCCATCAACTCACAAGTAATTGGGATTACTGCGTTTTCTGCGTAAAGCTACGTTTACTGGCCTCTTTTTCCACTTAGTTGTGTGCTATACGCTGTTTTTACCTTTAGTTTCCACCAACTTAATGTCGCTAATTTCATTACTATAGTCTGTTTTTTCTCACAAGTAATTTACTTTAAATTCCCATCTCTAGTAAACAATATGGTCGATAAAATAAGACTGTAATACTTTGTTTAAGTGTTTAAGACCGTTTTGGTTAAGCAAGCACTTAAGGCTCCGCTTTTGTACTTCTTTTAGACAACCCACCTTTGGACTGTACCAGTAGACCGTCAACCCTGCTCTGGGTCGGCAATACATACTCTACCTCAGTATTATGATTTCCTTCAACTTCAGGGAAGATAGGGAGTCTACATTGGCAGCCTAGGAGGGCAAACTCGATCCTAAGGGCAACTGCCCTGAATTCCTACAATAAAAGTTAAACTTTCACGGTTTTATGATGGGAAAATCTGGACCGGCCTCTAACACAGAGGTTGAAAATGACGTCTACCAACTGCAAATACCCCAGTCTCGTGTTTAATAGGAATGGTTTTAACAAATGAAGCCACATCAGCAGTGATCCAGTTCAAAAAAGATCACTACGAAGCTGCGTAGGGCACCTGTATAAAGATGTCAATCAAGTGAACACACAATACCTCCTCCATCTCTTTACTAGCTAAATAGAACCCAGAGAGATACAAATGGGTAGCATTGACGTGAGAGGATAGTGGCAAGAAGGAGCAGACGCGGAACCTTATTTTCACGAAACTATTTCAAACCCCGTCCTCTATTGAATGACTACTTTCGGGGCAGTATTCTTACATCTACCGAAGGACATGCAAGAAGTCCTGCATATTCTCCATCCTCTTCCTTCAATATCGGTCCCAAAAAAGAAGCTGGTGATTGGCGCTGTTGTTTGGTGGATTACTACAGCACGAACCACTTTGTGATGGCCTGCGTAGGAGGTTGACCGAGGGAATGCCAAAGACAAGGCTGTGTACTGCTTTGATGATTTATTTGACTCTTTGTTTTGAATTCGCAGATACTTAAAACTCCATTTTTATACCTCTGCTGGGTGGCTTGCCGTTCGGTCTATGCCAACAGCTCCTTCTCAGCCCTTCTCTCCACCGACAATTCGTATTCTAGCCCAGTATTATCGCCTCTTTCGTCTTCAAAAAAGTGCCGGGACGCCACAGCATCCGCAGAAAAACGGAAAAGTAGAGTGAAGAGGCACTTTTATGAGCAGTAAATCGGAATTCAGATGTTTCAATTAAATAACTTATATGAATTCTTGCTTGAAGGTTAGCCATACGATGGGTTTGTTGGATATTTTTGTGTTGAATCAGGCATAATGCAGAATTAAAGACCTTTGTCGAATACACTTTGGCAGTAAACTTATCAACAGTTGCAAGCCTAAGTGCCATAATGCGCAGCACTTTACCGATTATTCGAATCACAAAGCCCAACAAATTATGCAGTTCCAAGTTGTCGCGTGTGAAGTCTGTGGATATTGTATTCATCCCTTTTTCCTCTTGAGTACCTACTCATAAGCCATTACGCATTCACCTAGACATTTGTATGAACAACCACGAAAAACCTTTTTTTCCATCCGTCGGTGGCCTTTACCACTAACCAGTAATCTTTTGCCTTTTCTGCTCACCTTAGCTAAAGATAATTGATTGTAGATTTCGTGTGCTTTAAATTTGCCTTCAAGCATGTACAACTTATGTAAGCAACAAGTCACTCTAGGATTTGAAAACGGTTTTTACGAAAGAAAAGTTATTAAAGGATTTCTTCACAAAGTTTCAGTCATACATAAGAGGATGAATAGACTCGAAATCACCAGGTCAGTGGATGGGGACGAGGGAGGCTAATAGCGCGTGTGGGTGTGTGTGACTGTGTTCCTGTCAGTCCATATGCATCCATGTGTGCCCATGTGAGCATGTATGTGCGTAGGTGTGCAAAAGGGCGTGTGCACGTAAAGTAGAAATAGTTCTAGGATAGCAATCTGTTAATGAAAGAACCTCTAGACCTCCAAATCCGAATTGCTTTCTGTACTGGGTGAGACGCTTCCCTCACGTCGTCGACTGTGTGTTGCGGTGTCCGCCTCGGAACTGGGCAGAAGAATGATTTCCGGCTGAATGAGATCCACGCTGACAATGTCATTCAGAATGGCCTCACGAATATTGAACCTCTCGGGATGTTGTTTGCGAGCCATAGTATCACCAGTGCCAACACTGGATTCTCGCATCTGAAGGAGGGGATCCCCCATTTCTGCCTTTGGTAGTGTCCGCACACCGACGATCTCACCACTATACTTGTCAATTATGCCTTGCTCCAATGCCCTGCTGACTGGAATGCGTTCTTTGTCACTCAAGCGGATGTAATTAACGCGGTATGTTCGTCGGCGCATGTTGGGAGTCTGCCATACGGCTGTGCATTCAACGGGATACTTACGAGGGGAATGGTGGAAGGCAATACCAACGCCCGTAGAGAAGCGCTTCTCAACTATCACTGCATTAGCATTGATTGCAGTTGTAAGGGGCATAATGACACCACGTTCATCGTCCATGTAGATAACACGCAGGATACTGCGGTAGAAGGCATCAGCAGCAGAAATCACCTCACCTGTTCCTGGCACACGAGCTCCGACCAGGGTGAGCCTAAGGAGGTTGCCCACAGTGTCCAATTCCAATTTGTCCTCACCCTGTTGATCTGTCTTCCAGGCCACAAAGGTAAAGGCTGCATTCTCCTCGAAATTTGCATTTATTCCACTCTGCTGCAGCTCATAGTCACTACAGTAAGCGCTCAGTGCTCGATTCTTCATCAGCATATCCACAGCATCACTCGTTGGTTCTGTTTGCATAACTCTGATGACGGGAGTCCTCGAGACCCACCTATAGCTGCCGTGCTTTGCGGAACCATAAGAAGATTGCATCGAGTCCCACTCATATCCGTCTTCCCCACTATAAAACTCCTCCTCGCCTGCACCGGAAGGCCACCGTGTCCTACCTTCGCCTTCCCGCACACTGGCTTGACAGCAGTAAGGACATGAGATTGTCGTTGTCGATGTGTACTGCGTTCGGGCATTCTGGAGATGTCTTCTTCTGCTGTCGCCTTCCAAATCTCCGTGCTGGCCGAATTCCGTACAAAACCTTGCATCCATCAGCATTTGGGCTGCTTTTTCGTAACCTATCAGGCGCACACACTGGGTAATGCACTCTTCACATCGCTCCTCCAATTCCATTTGCTGCAGCATCCGTCTGTTACCCATAGTGAGATCACTATCACTGATGAATTGGCGATGCATGGTTCGGGAACCCCTAAAGTAGATATTTTCCATAGATTTGTTTCTCCTATCATATGAACCTCTTACAGTAGGCGATCTGAAGCGACTGATGTAGCGTCGAGGCACCTGTGAGGCAGCGATGCGATTTGTGTACCCGTAGCAGTCAGCAATCGTAGCAGGGCTCGGAGCGTCAGTTTGAACATTGAGCATTGCTGGCACACTTAAAGAAAGACTGCTAGAGGGACTAAAGACTTGAGTTTTGTAAGGAATCAGACCCTGTGACCCAGATCTTATTCGGCGTGAAGATACCTTTGCTTTGGTTTCACGCACAAAGGAGAAGAGGTTCTGTGGCTGTCTTGCCGGAATCGGAGCAGTCGAAAAGAGATCTGCTTGCTTCATGGGCTTATATTGCTCCAGGTCTACTTGAGTAGTTCTGGAGTACACATCGGGCTTGGACGTAGTGAAGACCACGGACGTCTCCATTGGTGGGGTTTGTGTAGTTCCTACCAATGTCGTAGGCTGGATCTGGACACCCCATTCAATTCCACTCGTATTGCGAGAGAGCAGTGGTGATAATGGTGAACGACGAGGCTCAGGTGCGTTGTACTGAACACCAATTACACGCTTTCCTTCAAATGCTCCAACACCTTTTTGAATTCGCACGCTGCGGCTGGGTGGCTTGTGAGTTAATGTATCGTATTGCAGCGAGACGTCGTTCACAGGTGTTTTGAACATCGGCTCGCAGGCCTTATCCTCGGTTGTCAGCGCCTTGACTGGCGGTGCAGCAAACACTCTTACGGCCTCTTCGGTGGACCTAATGATTGGCGACGGTGCAGAAGTCTCAGTTGGGACTGCTTGACAGGTGCAGCTACATAGAGCTGGAGGCACAACTTGCATCTTCTTTCCATACGTAGGGACAGGTTCAACCTGAGTAAATGCGTTGGTACATTGTTTGCTTGACAAGGGATCGGTGGCCGCATCCTTCATTGAAACTTGCGTCGGCAGCGGCGGTGCAGACCTAACCATCGGTGCCTCCTTCACTCCGATTATTGGAGGAACATCCACCTCTTGCCAGGTCGTTTGGCTTATTCCGATCTCCATTGCCGGCGGTTTCACCTGCATTTTTTTAGCAAATTTCATCACCTCTTCCGATTGTGTGGTCATATTACTCGTCAGTGTTGACAAGGGATTACAGTCAAAATCGCACATTTGGACTTTGGATACTGTGAGCTCGGGCTGATGAAACGTAGACTGGACGTGGGAAATGGTCGGGCTTGGTGCATCGGCTTGAGTTACAGTGATGCTCATTAGTGGTAAAGGTTTTGCATCGATACCTCGATCTTCAGTATTAGGCCTTGGTGGAGCCGAGTATAGTGACTGAGACACCTTTACTGGTTGTGGTATCATCACTGGTGTTGGAGCGGCCATTTCAGTTTGCACAGAAGTCATTTTAAGAGAGTACGGGAGCTCTATTTGTGCCGACTTCTCGTCCATTGGCGGACGCAAATCAACTTGCATTTTCTTGCCATATGTAGCTGGTGTTTCAGGCTGCTGTACATTGTTCGCTTGAGTAGACATGCTGTTTGTTATGGACCTTCTTGTTGGCTCGGTTTCTGTTTGAACACGGACAACTTCTAGTTTCACTATGGCAGCCGTCTGAACATTACTCTCAACTAAATCAGCGCGTAGGTCAACCTGCAATTTTTTCCCGCAGGTGAGTGGTTTCTCCGGTGGCTTCATTGTATCCGCAAACGTTACAGGACTTGACTGTGTTGAAGCGCCAAATAATTGCCCTAATTCAAGGGCGTCAATTTCTGCATCTACCATTGTCACTGTTGGAGGAGAAGGAGGGGCTGCGAAGACTATACGGGGTTCCTCGGTTTTAACTATAGGCGGCTGTGGGACGCTTTCTACTTGGAGGGTTGATTGAACACTTGATATCTCAAGTGGTGGGGGGGATACCTGAAGTTTCTTTCCTAGTGCAACTGGTTTTACGATCACAGAAGGAGTCTCTTCCCTGGTTTGAACGCTCAAAATGCTATAGGGTGCCGGACAAACTTGTAGTTTCTTTCCTATTTTGAGTGGTGTCGGCGGTGAGGTTATACCAACCTGGACATCTGCGTCAAACATCGATAAGTTCATTACAGTTTCACATTCCTTATCTGTCATTGGTACTTTAGCAACTTGTGACGATGGTGGTGGTGCGGCAAAAACTTTATTTGTTTCCTCAACATGGATGATTTGGGATGGAGGTGTCGTTTCCTTTAAGCACCATTGAATGATTGACGTTTTAAGAGCTAATGGCGACATTTGGATTCCCTTGTCCACTACCACAGATTTTACAGGAGTGAATGCTGATAAAGACACCTGGAGATTTTTGCCAACAATTCTGGGTTTTTGTTTTAAAATGTCAGCCACTTGGACACCAGCA